TAAAACCTTCATATTATTATTCAGAGAGGTGACCTTGATAACATATGTCAAAATTGTTGAGATCGGAAAATAGTCCGTATAACTGCATAATTACCTTATTTTTTATGAATAACTTTTCAACAAACAACAAGCAACGGCTAAAACTGTTTGATTGTTACTCAAAAATATATCCTTGATAACTTATGTCAAGATCAACATCATTGGTCCTGCCTCCCGTATACGAAATAATTATCGCATATCTTGTTATATACATATATCATTTCACTTTTTAATATAGTTTTTTAATTTTTAATATTTCTAATATATATGTATTTCAAGTTTTAATTATTTCGAAAGAATAACATTTTTACGCGCACTCTAAATTTACATTTATAATAAAACATCTTGCTAAATTATTTAAAACAGTAAAAAATATGCGATGGAATTATCGTGATAAACCATCTGTTTCAAACATTTTAACTTTTATGTGAATTTTTATTAATCTACATTTATTATATAGATTCAACTTTTCAGAAGACTTGAGCTGATAATCTCAAAATATATCGTGATGAATTTGAAAAAAGAATTTGCTCGATAACTCATAGAACTCGATAATTCATAGCTTTAGTCGGCATAAATTAATAAATAAAAAAATAAGCTTATGAAAAGATAAATCAAAAAATCAAAGCCAATGCGAGTCAATATACAGATCACTATATAGATTGCTCGTGTATGTGTTTATCATTTTTTATGTATCAAACTTTTTAATTCTTTTATTTGAATTTCTTCCTCAGTAGGTAAATAAATGAAGAAAAAAAACATTAGCATACAATAAAATACATCAGCATACAATAAAATACATAAAAATACAAAAATCTCAAATAAATAATGAAACTACACTTTATCAAGAAAAATTAAAACATTAATTAAAAAGTTGATAGCAGCAAACATTATATGCAAAGTATAATTTAATCATCATGTAATCAAAGTAATATTAAAATAAATTAAAACAAACATATAGTTAAAAAATTAAAGTCAAGAATTAAATAAATACATATTTAGTCAAAAAATAAATATATAGTCAAAGAAATAATAAAACACTAGTGACAACCAAATCCACAAACTTACAAAATGCGGCAGAAGCTTGTTTATAAATAATGTGTGTGTGTGTTTTTCTCAACACAATATCAAATAATAAGTTAACATTAAAGTTAAAATCAAAGAAGTCTATTAAGATAAGAGTTAGTATTTTATTGCTTTAATAAAAATAAGTAAGAGAGATCTTAGCTATTTAATATCACATATAATATTAATAGAATTGTTTTGTAATCTAATATATGGAGCATCTTAAAAACCGATCTTGTAAAATAACTATCAATGTCTAAAATTTTTATGTTTTGCCAATCAAAATCATGTCCAATTTTAATTAAGATTATATTATTTGAAAATTTGATATTATTTTATCGCATCCTGAGAAAAAATGGAAAATCATCATAATCATATAAGATTATATATGGATCGGATGTAATTTTATATAATCGTATAAACTTTTATATAAGTCGAATATGATTTTATGCGATCGTGTAAAATCAGATCCGAAATTTGGCGCGATCTGATTTTATATAATCATATATATAGATCTGAAGATCTATTTGAAACTTAAATTATATACTTTGAATTCTACTCACAATTAATATACTCGGTCTGAACGCTTGTCAATATTCCAAAGAGCGAGACGATTAATAACATGGCAATTCCTCTATACTTTCGGCCAATCATTTCGCTTTGGATCCGTCGTATATTTGTCGGTGTGAGATCATGAAGCGTTCCTCGATAACGACGTTTCTTTTATACATGTAACTCTTGATCGCATCTTTCTCATCACGATTTCTTTCTCTGTCACTTTTGTACTACCACTGGTAGAAAGGTCAATTTGCTCGTGATTACACCACGTGTGTTTACACCGTGAACTTGATATCCGATGACTAATCACGGCCATCGATATACCCGCGTACTCGTTCGTGCCGGAAATATATTGATAAAGCCCGACCCTGATGTGATTTTCATGGGCGTTTTAACGTCTATGTGAAAAACCGCGCCGCGTTATTGGCGACTGAGAGGACCAAAGAGACAAAAAGTTATAAATAACTTTATTATATAACTAAAAATCTTAGAGCAAAAATTGACAGTAGCACGGATTTGCGGCAAATAAAACAGTTGTAATAAAAGAGATTGTTAACGTGAACAAAAAGACTCACGTTAGAACGACTGACGTTGATTCGCGATATTTTCACGTTTAAACTCAGATTTCACGAAAGATTCTTAATAAAATAATAAAATAATAAAGTAACATTAAATAATAAACTAACTAATAATAAACTCAATAAGAGCCTTCTAACGTGAGTATATATATATCATAAAACATCTTTATACGGCGGCAATGTTGAGTCCTTGCGACTTGAGAAGAGTTTTGTCACCGACGTCGCCGACGGCGATTACGATGCCAGAAGAAGCCTCGCAAGAGAGCCGCGGCGGTTGTACGAGCATCGATTAGCGGCAATTCCACACAGATAAATCTTCCATCTTAGAAATGTTTATGAAGGCGAGATTGGATTTTAATAAGAAATTGCAATTGACGGTGCCGTCGACGATATCGCGCGGAATGATGCGTTCGTAAAATTGCAGTCGCGGTAATTCGCTGTAAATATGAGTAAATGTAAGCAGAAAAAAACAGAACACGGTACTATTAAGTAACGAAATAAAGAGAACACAACGCAACACAATGCAGCTTTCTCGAAATATGAGACAATTACATAAAACTGTCCGAATCTGATTCGTCCGCGTGCGCATCGATCATCGCATCGCGACGGAGGATATCGCCACGACGAAAAAAGAATCGGCGTGGCGATATCCTCCGTCGCGATGCGACTTCCAAGCCACGCTCACTTCTTACGTCATATGATAATAAGCGACCTCTCGGCCTCGGATACGTCGTCTAGATGACACACTAGTTTTTCACCTCTCGTGGTGCAATTTAGAATGCGCTTCTTTTCCCAGAATTTAAGTCCGCCGTACGAAGAAGAGGGAAGAGTTTACGGTAAGGAAGAGTCGGGTTTACATCACATATATGAAAAAAGATAGGGGAGAAAAAGGGCATTTGTCAACAAACTCATTTCTTTACAAATACATTACACATACCACACTGTTATTACTAATGAAGTTAACTCATTATATGAAGATCTTATTATATGAAGATCTAGTATTTGAATCGCATTGCCTTATTCTCATTTTTCAAAAGGCACGGTAATGCCTCGCGCCAAGTTCACGTGCAATAAAGTCGCGCGCGAACGGTGCGAGCACTCCGTGCCTCTATTACGCAAAAATTAAAAAATTTGATATTTATGAAAAATTAAAATATACATATTTCAGTAAAAAATAAACCAATGAACCGCTATTTAGTCTCAATTGTTTTGGGTTTGAAAATTAAAATAAAAAGTATACATATATGTGTTTTTGTTGTCTGTGTCTTCTATTCAAAGATATTTGAAGATAATGTCTTAAATTGATAAAATTCGCACATATAAACATTTTTCGTTGGACAAATATACATATATATCACATATGTGCAACTTTATAGTTTCCAAAGTTAATAGATGGCAAAGCGAGTGCGGTGCAATCTCATTCTCTCTCTCTCTCAATTCTCTTTTATCCTCTCTCACATTCTCTCTTTTTTTCTTTCTTTCGATAGTGTCACGCACAACGAAATTACCAAATTGTCAAAAGTGACAGTTTGTTACTTTAAAATGCAAAAGATACTAAAGATATGAATACAACATGTATGTATGTATGTAAAAAAACATCGACATGAAAAATGCGTTATACTCGGAGGAAACGTCAAAAGTAGGTTTATTACTTTTTTCATCTAAGTTATATCGGTAGTGCTGAAGATTGTTGCCATTTAAGTTATCGTGTACTTTATGTACTTTTTTCTACAGTAGAACCTCCCAAACGTATACAGTCAAGACCGACAAACCTCTCAAAACATATACTTTCCCTATTCCCTCACTCTTTAACTCACGCATGCGCAAAGACTTACTTGGTATAAATGCGCAAATGCTAGCGCAGTTTTTTTTGTAACCATACTTAGTGGTGGGAAAAACGATAAAGGGGAAAATATACGTTTTGAGAGTGGATTTTTATATGTTTTGGGAGGCATATAGTATACGTTTTGGGAGGTTCTACTGTATTTTTTGTTGTGTTAATATATCAATGTATTTTATTTGCAATAAAATATGACCATTACTGTATACACATTTTATGCTCTATTATTACCATAATTATTAATTATTGTAATTTAATAAATAAAGAAAGAATAAAGAATAATAAAAAAATAAAGAAAGAGATCTTGAGAGTAATTTAACTAACTTTTTTACTTTACAGACTGTTACGCACTACTCTGTATTTGACACAGTTTTAGCAAAGATAGTACATATGTTGGCAAAGATTAGGGATGAAATGTACGTGAATCCACAAGAGAAAGCTATTTTCTTCCGGACGGTCAACATGGCAAAATAAGCACACACACACACATATTCTAATTTTACATTTCATAAAAGTTTCTTTTCTTATTACACTCTCGGAGATCTTGAAGAAGAAGAGGCACAAAAGTATAAAATTTTTATGAGAATAATAATTTATAGTCTATTATCTCTAATAGGATATTATTGAGACATTCATTAACTATTTTATAATTTTTACAGAGCGCCATGACTGTCTTTAATCTGCTAATACATTAGACAAACAAGTAGAGACTTGTGAAATCTGTTTGGAAGTAGATGCCTGCAATTTAGTATTCATTTTAAAATACAAAAATGGTATCAACAAGTCACTTATCATCTATCTTAGATTGTGAGAAGTTGCAAGTATATAAAACCATTTTTTTTTTTTTTTTATTGTTAATTGGCTTGTTAAACTATATTACTAGAAAAAGTCGAGTTAATTTTTTTAATAAATTTAATTTTGTTCAAATAGAATTCAAATAAGTTTTATTTAAAAACTTTGACAATTATGAATTTTTCAATCATTATCAAAAAGCTTTGGTTAAGAATTTTATTTATCTGTGCCAATTATTTTATAATAAATTTATACAAAATGCATCATATTCCAGGACTGAAATGCATAATGAATTAGCATCGCAAGCTCGAGTGTTAGGTGATGCTGTGCAAAATTTTTTTATAAAATCTGATTTAAATAACACTTAAGATAACACTCAATAAGGTTTTGTTCAGAAATTACGTGAATAATTCATCAGGTAAATAAAAATGTTATTTTTTCT